GCTCCCAGACGGCCCAAGACGCCTCCAAGAGGGTTCCCACAGAGCCCTCGAGGGCCCCAAGACGGGCCAACACACGTCCAAGACGGCCCAAAAGGGCTCCGAAAACGGCTCCGAGAGCGCTCCAGGAGCGGCCCGAGCGGCCTCGAGAGCTCCACATGGTCCTCGACGGTCCAAGAGCGATCCAAAACGCTGACGACGGCCCCCAGACGGCTGAAGAGGCCCCCAAGACGCCCCCAAGAGGCTTCCACGATGCGCCCCTGGAGGGCCTCTAGCTGTATAAAATCGCCCGTTCTCTTCGTAAACCGCATATGTGTTTCGCACGCGCGCCTTTTGAGGCGCCCCCTGCTCTGGGGCGGCCCGAGAGCCCCCCCAAGACCGCACCAAGACGGCCCAAGAAGCCTCCACGAGGGCCCCGCGACAGGCCAAGAGGGCGCCAAGACGGGCCCAGAGAGGCCGAGGACGGCCCAAGAGAGCCCCGAAGACGACGCGCGCGCGACTCGCGGTTAGATTCCTCGCAACTTGCGCTGCTTCCCGCCGCGCTCGCCACTTGCCTCCGCAGTGCGTTTCGGCGGGTCTCTCCGCGGCGCCCGTCCCGCCTTATGGCACTTGGCGCAAACCACCAGAGTGCCCCGGTGGAAATAATTCTTCTTCTGTGCTATCGACAGATGGCCGCCGTCAGTGAACGTAGGCTTTGATCCGTCCTTCTTCAGGGGACACGCGGAACATTCCAACTTCTTCGCAACCTGCCTTTGCTCGCGGCACGCTCGGCACGCCACCGAGCGATGCTCCGAGCCCATCGCGAAGAAGTGATCCACCTGCTTATCTGTCTAGATGCGTCCTGTCCGTGAATTCTCGCTCTTTCCCATCTGCTTCTTTCGGGCACGCGGAGCACGAGAGCACTCGCGGCGGATTTGCGTCCTTCCTGGCACGCGCGGCACATGACTGGGCGATGGTTCGAACCCGTCGCGAAGAAGTGCTTCACTTGCGTATCAGTCAGATGCGTCCTGTCCGCGAATTCTCGCTCTTTTCCATCTGCTCCTTTCGGGCACGCGGAGCGCGTCAGCGCTCGCGGCTGATTGCGTTCTTCCTGGCACGCGCGGCACATGACTGGGCGATGGTCCGAACCCTTCGCGAAGAAATGCTTCATTTGCTTATCTGTTAGGTGCGTCCTGTCAGCGAATTCTCGCTCTTTTCCATTTGCTTCTTTCGGGCACGCGGAGCACGTCAGCACTCGCGGCTGATTGCGTTCTTCCTGGCACGCGCGGCACATGACTGGGCGATGGTCCGAACCCTTCGCGAAGAAATGCTTCACTTGCTTATCTGTTAGGTGCGTCCTGTCCGTGAATTCTCGCTCCTTCCCATCTGTTTCTTTCGGGCACGCGGAGCACCTGAACACCCGCGATCGCTTGTAATGCGTGCCGCAGTCGCGGCATTTCACTGGCCTATGGGCTGCGCCCGTTTTATAATAATGGTTCATTTGTTCTGTTGTCAGATGCGCCGCGTCCGTGAATTCTCGCCCTCTTCCGTCTGTGTCTTTTGGGCACTCCGAACACCTCAGCGGTTGTTCCTAGCGCGCGCTTTGTCGAGCAGTGCTCGCTGCATTCATCCACTCCGTTTTCTTCTGCGATTGGCTACACTTGTTCCATCCAAAGACGACCAAAGAGACTCCCAAGAGGCCTCCCAACCGGGCTTCAAGAAGCCAAACTACTTGATTTGCCTAAGCTTTGTAAAGTGTTGGGCCTTTTTGCCTCTTCGAATTTCCGACGGCACGAGCAGCCCAAACAGGCGCCCAAGACCGCACCAAGACGGCCAAAGAGAGTCCCAACAAGGCCGCAAGAGAGCCCGAACACAGGCCAAGAGCCGCCCAAAACGGTCCAAAAGAGACCCAATACAGTCCGAACAAAGGCCAAAGACAGCCCAAGAGGCGGCCAAGACGGCCCAACAGAGCCCCACAACGCCACAGGAAGCACCAAGAGGCCTCTAAGAGGCACCACGAGGCCACCAAGAGGCTCACACGAAACCGAAAAAGACACCTCCGAGGCACAAAATATGCTTCAAAACGAGCTCCCAAAGGCACCGACACCGACAACACGAGCGAAGGCGACGCGCTGCGAGCCCCCCCCAGGGGTCGGCGGTGTGGCGTAAGCCCAAGAATCTGTAGGAAAAAGAACACACACACACACACACACACAATGTGTGCGTTTTTGTCCCACTGTCTATTTGTTTGTGTTGTTTTTGTGTGTGTGTGTGTGTTTGTGTGTGTGTGTTTTCCCCGTGTGTGTTTTTTTCCCACAGACGGAGGCCTCTGCACACAGGGCCTCCAGGCGGACATCCCGGGCGGACTTTTGGGGCCCCTGCGGGGACCTCGGCCGCGCACGCTCCAAGCCGGCCCCGCGGGCCGACTGGCCCCCCTGGCGGGCCCCCGCGCGTCGCAGAGCCACGGCGGGGGGCTGCTGGTGAGCGTTTTCTTATTCTTGGCGGCGCGCAAAAGGGGGTAGGGGGAGGGGGGAAGGCTTCTTAGAAGCGCCATGCTTCTTAGAAGGCCTCGGCCTTACGTCTATAGAGAAGGCCCGCGCCTTCTAAGAAGCAGGGGTACTTCTAAGAAGCCTTCCCCCCTCCCCCATACCCCCCTCTGCGCGTTGCCGATATTCGGCGTTTCGACATTGGGCGCAAGGAGGGGGAGGGGGGAGGGGGGGGTCAGGCTCCGGACCTCTGCATCACGCCACCGCTTGCAACAGTGCGTCCCAGGGGGAAGACCCCGCCTGCTCGAAACAGGCGCCGAAAACAGCCGAGCCCTACTCCATGGGGAGGAGGGAGGGGGGTGCGAGGGCCCGCACCGATCGGAATAACAACGAATAAGAAAACGATCACTTGGAACTCGTCGGCCTGGGCGTTGCGTAGTTACCCTCGACCTCCACCTGCCGAGCCTTCCGCGCAGCAGGTGCCGCAGCGGCGTGGCCGCGGCAGCCGCCGGACAGCCGCTGCGGCCTCGGCAACGGCCGCGACTGCGGCCGCACCTGCGGCGGCCGCTGCGCGGCACCTGCCGTCCAGAAGATGCGGAAGGTGGAGGTCCAGGGCAATAGAGGGACGATAAAAAGGGGGACGAAGAAAGGTGCACCTCTTCGGCCTTGAAGGCCCCCTTGAGAGTCCCCAAGGCGCACGAAAGGCGCGCCATTCTTCACCCCCCGCCCCCCCCCCCCCTGTTTGCATTTGCCGCCCCGCCCTTCCGCGAACGCCCGATCGGCCTTTGGGACGATAAAAAGGGGGACGGAGAAACGTGCATCTCTGATTTTCTTTCTTGTTATTCGTGACGCTGGAGATGCAAGGCAGGGCTGCGCACAGTTTGGCTTGCACAGCTCGCAGAAGGCAATTCGTGGCTCTGACGCCAGTGATGGCAGGAGAAAGAGCTCGAGCGGCCGCGCCGACATCATGGGCGTGCTGAGCTGTAAAAAATGAAAGATTGGCATTTGAGCCAGGTACCCGGACTCCCAGACGTATTGTCATCCGACAGGCATTGTAACTGCCAGAGGAGATCAGCGCGAACTGCAACGAGCGCAGCTGTCGAGCCCAGTGTAATACTTGATCGACGAATCATCCTTATCATCATCATCATCATCCTCATCATCATCATCATCATCATCATCATCATCATCATCATCATCATCATCATCATCATCATCCTAACTTCTCCCTGTGGAGCACGCCATCATGTCTACCGAGTCGGCGTGCTTCGTCGACAAAAGCAACGCTGCACTGAATCGCCCACGCGGCCTGCAAAATCGGCCCCAGATCAAACGAAACCCACCCTAACAGACTGTCGGCTCGCCTCGTGTACGTTCACACGACGAGGAACTGTCAAACAGAATTGTCTAACAGACTGTCGGCTCGCCGGGGCGGAGGAGGAGGAGGAGGAGGCGGAGGAGGAGGAGGGGGATGAACATTGGGCTGGGCAGGTCCTACACGGAAGGGCCATACACACTTGAAACAATGAAAATCGCCAGCTTCCCAACCAATGGGAAAGGGGACTCTTCGATGCTACAGCGTCGCACCGAGGCCGGATCAGCCAAGGCAAGTCGGCGAGAACGTGTGGAGGAGGAAGACGAGACGATGACGACGAGGACGACAAGCGGACAGGCCGCGAGGCCAGGAAAAGCGAGAAAGACGAGAGACACGAAGAGGAACGACGAGAGGGGAACGTCGGCAGAACGGCCACAGGGCACGGAGGAAGAAGCCGCGCGCCAGTAGCCGCGGCCCGCCCACGCGGCGCGCGGCACGCTGCGTGCTGCCATGCCTCGGACCAGGCACGCGGGAGGGAACAGAGGAGGAGGGGGGAAAGGCGGGAGGGCGAGAGGGAGAGAAAGGACAAGGTGGGAGGTGCTATATTAAAAAATATTACAATGCTGCAATACGAATGAGTACATTCACGGCGCCGCCCGCCGTCGCGTCCCTGGCCCCCTCGGCCAGCCTCATCCGCCTCCGCCTCCGCCTCTTCCTCCAGTGTCGGCAGCCTCGCGTCGTCGCCCGCTGCCAGCCGCCCTCCACGCGCCAGCCACTCCTGGCGCTGCCTCCGGGCTGTAATACTTAAAGCTGCGTAGCGTTCGACTCGGTGGCCGACGTTGTGGTCGTGGAGCTCGCAGCGGTCAAAGTGATCGCATATTGCCCGCCACCGCAAGCGCAGCACATGTCAGCAGCAGTGAACTCTTCTTCGTCATAGTAGATCGCCCAATGACAGGTTGATGGCATCCAGTCCCACTTTAGACATTGAAGTGAGGAACCCTGGCCGTTCTCAAAACTAAATTCGGCGGGAACACTGAGGTGCAATCCATCTGTGTCCACGCACGAGCTTGCGCTCTGCTTCGTGAGGTCCCCACCGCCGCAATCACAGCAACTCTCCCTTACGCCATCCGAACAATCATAATATGCAGAAAAACTAGCGTTGGTGGCATTTGGGCACGTTGTGTCTCCCGAATCAGTGCAAACAAATTCGTCCTCGTACCCAATGCAAATGCACGCATACCTCGGACTACAAAACTGCTCTCCGTACTCATTGGACAGAAGGTTGCCAAACCAGGTATCCACGTAACACCCACGTGGCTCCCACTCGTAAGACAAATACGCCCACCAATTCCAATCAAAATACGTGTTTCTCTCAGTCGCGGAGGTAGCATCACTCATACCAAGTACCTGCGCAGCGAAAGGACACAGATCAGTGTCCAAGACTGGAACTGGGCAAAATCCAGAAGTTATTTTGTAGAAGGGTAGCTCCGAACATGCACCCGAAAAATACGGTTGCCCGGAAAGAGGTCGGATCAGACCGACAAATCCAACATCGCACTTGCATCCGTCCACAACGCTGTCTCCAGTAGAGTTATATGGACACCCAACAGGCTCACACGTGTCGTCCCCGTCAAGGTTGGTGTAACCAGCATCGCAGGTGGTGCAAGTCTCGGCACGGCGGCGCCTTGTCTCACGGTCTCTGCCACACTGAAGGCAATCGTCAGAGGTGCCGTCGTTATAGTGGCCAGCCGGACACTCGCTTGCAGTGGACGCGCGCCGCCTCGTCGTCCAAACACCGAGGCACAACTGGCAGTCGTCCTCCATGCCTCCCTCGTTGTACCTCCCAGTCGCGCACTCTGCGCAGAAGACAGACCGCCTGCGGGTCGTGGTACATCCCACGCAAGGGCTGCACTCGTCGCTGTCGCCGGCGTCGACATAGCCCGGGGCACAGTCAGTGCAGGACTGGGAGCGTCGCCGCCGGACGGCTCCACCCACGCACGACACGCAGTCGTCCAAATTCCCAATGTCGTAAAAGCCGTCGGGGCAGTCCGTGCAGTCGGCCGCCCGCCGCCGCCTCGTCTCGCCGCCGGCGCAGCTGAGACACGTAGGACGCCCGCCATCGTTGTGATACCCAGCGAGGCACTCGTCGCTGTACCAAGGGTGCACGTGAGCACACGATGCATTTGCCTCCAAACACTCCTTGAGGACGCAAGCAACGGGACACTCGTCCATGCCGAACGATGAGCCGCAGCCGCAGGCTTTTGGGCAGAAGAACCTCAGGGACGTGTGGTCCCCGTCGGCGCACGCGTCGAGGTTCAGCAAAGACGTGACCTCGTACGACGCAAGAAAGTCGCAGCCGGACAACCCCCGCGGGTGCGCGAGCCCAGGCATCAACTCCCAAATGCCACTGACCAGAGCCCGCCCCATGGCGCCGGTCGCGACGTGCTCGATGAGGTCGGCCATCATGCCCTCGTCGGGATTGACCCCAGCGTAATCCTTCTCGACGACCTCGGTGACGCTGTCGTTGAATCCTGACAGGCTCGTCAAATATTCAAAAAGGCCCCTCACGTAGAACAGGAACGCCCGGGCATTCCGCGGCATATGCCAACACATGCTTTCAAAATTGTCCCAGCAAGAAGCAGAACTCAGGACGTCCTCGCGGCCGCCACCGCAAGCACAGCACAAATCGGCCGCCTGGAAGTCGTCGTCGTCGGCCATGCCGCAGAAAGAGGGGACAGCCGCGTACACGGAGCAGTCGTTGCCATTCTTGTCGAGTTGCGTTTCCTCGTTCGAGTCAGCGCACCCGCCTGCGAAGGAGAACTCCGCGCTTGCGAAGTCCGAGCACCCTTGGAACAAAGAGGAGGTAGTCAGCTGGTCTGAGCTTGAGTTCTGGGTTGCGTTTGAGTCCTGGGCTGCGCTCAATACCCGATTTAGAATTGAGAAATCCAGCGCTGCGCCCAGCGATTCCGGAGCTTGCAAGCGCCGACTGGCACTCTCCAGAGTGCTCAGCGCATATCTGAAAGCTATCTCGCTTGTCGCAGCCTTGAATGTCTCGCACTGGCTGGGGCACCCGAAGCTGGCCTTTCCGAAGAAGCCGACGTTACTCAGGAGAGGCTCCTCGCAGCGGCAATGCCTCGGGCATATGGCGCGAAGCCACGTGCTTTCCCGGGCGGCACAGAGGTCTCGTGGGATGTCGTCGCAGCTGCTGATGTTGGGGTCGCCCCTGAGCACCCTCAGCGTCTGCACCGACGCCTCGGTGCTCTGGCCAGAGCCCAGGTCGCGGCATGGTAGCGTGCTGGCCGCGTCCGAAAGGCTCCACACGCTCATATCGACGATCAGGCCGAACGTCGACTCGTCGACGGCCCGGGCAAACGTCGATCTAGAGGCGTCGAATATGCTCTGGCTCACCCTGCCCTCCCACCCGTCGTTTTCCTGGAGTTCAACCTGCGACACCTGCGCGATAATCTCCTCGATGTCGGTGTATACATTCTCCCCCATCGTCTTCGCGACGTGCACCATTTTAGTGGCGGGGTTCTCGGTGTAGACGAAATTCAGGTCGCCCGAGCACACGATTTTCTCACCCTGGAGGATTTGCCAATTGATCGGCAAGACCACGAACATGTAAAAAGTCAAGATTATGGTCATGACAAGGGCGATGATGAAAGCGGTGCCCACTCCAGACAGCCTGGAGCCTGGTTTGCGCGGTGGCATTGGCAGGGGCTTGAAGTTGCAGATCAGCGTCTTGGTTCGCCGAGGCATGAGGACCGAGTACAGCACCTCGTCGAATTCGAGGACGAAGGCGAGCGCCACGCCGTTCAAGATCAGCTCGGAGAAGTTCACCGTGTTGGCTAACCACTTGGCCCCGAACCACCACAAAAGGCCAGCCACCAGCAATTTCGGGAGGCACACGCTGAAGAAAAAGAATGCCACGCGGCCAGGCCACACGGTGACCATGCGCACGACCTTCATGAAGTCGTACAGGTGGCCAGAATCATCTTCCCCGACAGCAATGTCACGAGCTCCTGCGCGAACGAGAGTGGGAGGACTGTCGTCTTCGTGTTCATCCATGTCATCAACCACGAGCTTCGTCTGGCTCCCCATCCTGCACTGGCACACTGCTCTGAATATGCTGTATGTAGTATCGACATCCTTCAGTATTGTGCAGAGCCACAGGATCTGAATGAATACAACGAGGCACTGAGCTACGACGCCTCCACCAACGTACTCCATGAGGTCGGTGTAAAGACCCGTCTGCTCACCCGCCAGATGCAGCTTAGAATCTCCATCGCAGATCTGTTGGGCCATCGATCGTTGCGTCACCTTGTCTGCATACTCGGCTCTGTGCGCCAAACCGAGCCTAAACTTGAGCAGGCCATCAAGTACAGCTGCGTCCAGGCTGACAGACTGCGTCATCAGATACACGATGATCACAATGAACATGAACTGCAGAATCAGGTTAAGAAACCAGATTGAGATCATCATCACCGAGTTCGTGAGACCAATCGAGCTGTGCCCGCAGAAGAGCATCGAGTCCCAAACTGACTCGCTAATGGTGTACATGTCCCCACAATCCAGCATGAGTGGAGTCACTGATCTTCTCTCATTCCTGCTGCTGGGGGGGCCAGGGGATCCACGCTGATTCAGCACAGGCAGCTCGAGCTCCTCAAACTCCTCGACCTGACTGGAAGACTTCACCGAATTCCTTTCCTTGCGCTCCTGTCGAATCGCATCCTCCACGGCGCTGATTCGCTTCTCGAGCGCCGCGTCGGCCAGCGCTGCCACGGCCTCCTCCACGGCGCGGAGCCTCTCCTCGAGGTATAGAACCCGGGGGGGAAGCCTACACTAGGCCCTACCCAAGGCCCCAGGGTAGCCTACCATCGGCCCTACCCAAGGCCATGCCTAAGGGTAGGCCTAAGGGTAGGCCTAGGATAGACCTAGGGGGTAGGCCTAGGGGGTGGCCTAGGGTAGGCCTACGGGGTAGGCCTAGGGGTAAGCCTAGGGTAGGCCTAGGGTAGGCCTAGGGAGAAATCCTAAGAGAGTAGGCTTAGGGTAGGCCTAGGAAGTAGGCCTAGGGGTAGGCCTAGGGTATGCATAGGGGGTATGCCTAGGTGTAGGCCTAGAGTAAGCCTAGGTGGAAGGCTTAAGGGGTGGGCCTAGGGTTGGCCTAGGGGGAAGGCTTAGGGGTAGGTCAGGGTCGGCTCAGGGGGAAGGCCTCGGGTAGGCCGACGGTGGGCCTAGGGGAAAGGCCTAGGGGTGGGCCTAGGGTAAACCTAGAGGGGAAGCCTACGGGTAGGCCTGGGGTGGGCCTAGGGCGGGTCGGGTCGGGTCGGGTCGGGCGGGCGGACCCAAACGGGCGGGTCGGGTCGGGCCAGCGGGTCGGGCCGGGCGGGCGGGACATTAAAGTGAGGTGCGTGATCGAATTGACACGCAATAACCCCAACGGGCGGTCGGGTGGGTCGGGGTCTTCGGGCGGACCTATCCGGGCGGGTCGGACGGGCCCCGGGGCGGGTCCCGGTGGTCGGCGGAGCGGGTCGGGTCGGCGGGCGGGCATGGACGAGCTCACGGAGTTCGCACGCGAATACCCCTAACGGGTGGGTCGGGTCGGGCGGGCGGACCCAAACGGGCGGGACGGGTCGGGTCGGGCCGAGCAAACACTAACGGGCGGGTCGGGTCGGGCGGGCGGGGGCACCGAAGTGTGGGTCACGCCCGAGCGACAGGCGTGAAGACTAACGGGCGGGTCGGGTTGGGCAGGCGGACCCTAACGGGCGGGACGTGTCGGGTCGGGTCGGGCGGACCCCAACGGGCGGGTCGGGTCGGGCCGGCGGGACACTGAAGTGTTGGGCGCGCTCGAGTGAGCACGCGTGAACTTTAACGGGCGGGTCGGGTCGGGCCGCGCGGACCCTAACGGGCGGGTCGGGGTCGGCAAGCGGACATTAAACAGTGCAATGGGTCGATTGACACAAACGATTGCCCTAACGGCGGGTCGGTCGGGTCGGGTGGGCGGACCCTACCCTGGACGGGTCGGTCGTCGGGTGGGCGAGTCTTAACGGGCGGGTCGCGTCGGGTCGGGCGGGACATTAAAGTATGGTGCCTGATCGAATTGGCACGCGAGAACCCTAACGGGCGGGTCGGGAAGGGTCGGGTTGGGTGGGCGGACCTTAACGATCGGGTCTGTTCGGGTCGGGCGGGTCGGGTCGGGTCGGCGTCGGGTCGGGCGGGACATTAAAGTATGGTGCCTGATCGAATTGGCACGCGAGAACCCTAACGGGCGGGTCGGGAAGGGTCGGGTTGGGTGGGCGGACCTTAACGATCGGGTCTGTTCGGGTCGGGCGGGTCGGGTCGGGTCGGGCGGGCGGGACATAAAAATGTGGTGCAATATCGATTGACACGCGAATGCCCGAACGGGCGGGTCTGGTCGGGTCGGGCGGGCGGACCCTAACGGGCGGGTCGGGCGGGTCGGGCGGGCGGAACCCTAACGGGCGGGTCGAGTCGGGCGGGCGGGACATGAAAGTGCGGTGCGTGATGGTGTTCACACGCGAATACCCGAACGGGCGGGTCGGGTCGGGTCGGGCGGGCGGACCCCAACGGGCGGGTCGGGTCGGGCGGGTGGACCCTAGCGGGCTGGTCGGGTCGGGTCGGGCGAGACAATAAAGTGTGGTGCATGATCGAGTTGACACGCGAGAACCCTAACGGGCGGGTCGGTAAAGGTCGGGTCGGGCGGGCGGACCCTAACGGGCGGGTCTGGTCGGGTCGGGCGGGCGGGTCCTAATGGGCGGGCCGGGTCGGCCGGGCGGGACATACAAGTGCGGTGCATGATCGACATTACACGCGAGAACCCTAACGGGCGGGACGGGGCGCGTCGGGTCGGGCGGTCGGACCCTAACGGGCGGGTCGTGTCGGGCGGGCGGATCTTAACGGGCGGGTCGCGTCGGGCGGGCGGGACATTAAAGTGTGGTGCATGATCGAGTTGACACGCGAGAACCCGAACGGGCGGGTCGGGAAAAGGCGCGTCTTGAGCCAAAGTGGATACGGAGGAGAAGAAAGACGAGAGCAGAGGCGGAAGGAGCGGCAGCACAAGGAAGCGAACTTCCAAGGAGGTTGCCCAGGTTGTTGGGTCGTCCTGGGGCCCTCTCGGTGGACTCCAGGGCCCTCCCAGGCAATGCAAGATGGCCTCCAATATGGCGCAAGCTTGCACAAGTGCAAAGCAAAGACAGAGAGCGAGCGCCTCATTTACTCTGATGATGCGGCGCAGAGGCTTAATCCTGCACGATGCCTCGGCGGTCTGACGTTGGAGAAAGTTGCCGCCGTGTCACCGTCGGTGTCTGACCCACTCGGGGGCCCTTTTGAAGGTCTCCAGAGGGGGGGAAACAAACAGAATCCGCTGCCGAGGATGAAATATATTCTCGGCAACGAAATGCCTTGATTTTGCGGTTCGCCCGCCCTCGGCCAGGTGCTGATCACGAAGGGGTCGTTTGATTCCCTGGGTTGCAAGCTCCCCGCCCCAGGCGTTTTCCCTGATCGAGCGCTGTGCTTCTTGATTTCGCTGCCCCTCTGCGTCGTGCCGTCACCGAACTCGGCACGTTATCGAACCTGTGTCCGTCCTCTTCCTCCCACTCCTACCTCATCCTTCTCCATTGCCTTTCCCCCCCTCCTCCTCCTCCTCCTCCTCCTCCTCCTCCTCCTCCTCCTCCTCCTCCGCGGCACTCCTGTAGAAGAACGTAAGGTGGCCAAGGATAGCTTTGCTCAAAGCCCTAGGGTGACCTAGGGTAGGGCCTACCCAAGTTGGCCTACGGGGTAGGCTTAGGGATACGCCTAGGGTAGGCCTAGGAAGTAGGCCTAGGGGTAGGCCTAGGGTATGCATAGGGGGTATGCCTAGGTGTAGGCCTAGAGTACGCCTAGGTGGAAGGCTTAAGGGGTGGGCCTAGGGCTGGTCTAGGGGGAAAGCTTAGGGGTACGCCTAGGGGGAATGCCTAGGGATAAGCCTAGGGGTAGGCCTAGGGTAGGCCTAGGGGTAGGCCTAGGAGTAGGCCTCAGGTAGGCCTAGTGGGACTGCCTAGGGGTAGGTCTAGGGTAGGTCTAGGGGTAGGCCTAGGGGTAGGCCTAGGGGTAGGCCTAGGGGTAGGCCTAGGGTAGATCTAGGGTAGGCCTAGGGGGTAGGCTTAAGGGTAAGCCTACGGACGACCTAGGGGGTAGACCTAAGGGTTGATCCCTAGGTAGGCCTAGGGGGGAGGTCTAGGGGTAGGCCTAGGGTAGGCCTAGGGTAGGCCCAGGAGGTAGGCCTAGGGGTAGGCCTACGGTAGGCCTAGGGGGAAGGCCTAGGGGTAGGCCTAGGGTAGGCCTAGGGGGTAGGCCTAGGGGGTAGGCCTAGGGTAGGCCTAGGATAGGCCTAGGGGGTAGGCCTAGGGGTAGGCCTAGGGTAGACCTACCCTCCGGGTTCTATAGCTCCTCGACCGCCGCGCCAGCGAGCCCGCCGCCTGCCCGGAGCGTGTCCTCCAGGGCACGGACCCTCCTCTCGATCGACTCGCCTAGGGAGATCGATTTGAACCCCCGTACCCTGTATGTTGCCCTCCCCTCGGACATCGCGCGCGTGATCGCCCTCGCATGTGCAGTTAGAAGGCGCTACCACGCAGGAGTGCGATGGCGATGCTTGCCACGCGCGTGGGCTACGCGCGTTGTTCTTTCACTGAGTGTCAGTGCGTAGCCGCGGCTCGCGACGATCGAATGGCTTCAAGCACGGCCAGATCAGACTCGCCAGTTGGCGCTCGTGTCACGGGGGCGCGCGCACAAGGGACGTTGACGCCTGCAGGCGCGAAGCGTGTGAAAGAGCGACCTCAACGAAGCCGAGTTAGTCACGCGGCCTCCATGGCCGAACGGCGCGCCCGCCGTCGATTGACAACCCGCGCCCGACAGGCCAAAGAACGAGGCACGCGCTATTGCCTTCAAGTGGCGGCCCTGGTTGGCCCAGGTGGTTGGTGTAACATATGCGGCCGACGACGCCGATGCCATTGGACGCCCAGCTCCGCTACCACGGTCGCGCGCAGCAGCCTCATCGAGTCAGCTGCGCCCGATGGCCGACCCACCAACCCACGGAACGCGCGACAGGCGGAGCCGCGCGTACGAGCATAACAACTAATACTACTAGCACGGCACGCTCGCATATACAGTGCAAGCCAACGCTGATCCTCGTCCTTCCAGCTCGTTGTCCTCCCTCTCCTCCACCTACTCAGCCTCCGCCTCTTCAATCCCCTCGCCCGCATCCTTGTCGTTCTCATTCGTCTCTGCCTCATCTTGCTCATCCCCCTCCTCCTTCGCATCTTCCTCCTCCTCCTCCCGTGAGTTTCGTTACCACGACTTGCAACGCGCTGCCCATGGCATGCGAAGGGGGCTGGCGAAGATGCGAAGCATCATATGATATGCGACGCAAGAACACGAAGCAACTTTTTCAAAGCGGAGGCCTCCCCGCCACCGCGCCTGTCGGAGACACGTTCGAACTCTCGGAATGCATCGCGAGCCCCAACCGCGATGACCTTGCTCCGCCCTCGAGGCCGTCTACGGCTCGCTGCATCGTCGGGCTACTCCGAACGAGCAGATGGACGCGGCAGTCGGCCTGGCCGAAACGGGAAGCGCAGCCTCGAGTCGAACCGAATCCCCCAAGGACAACCGCAAGTCGGACGTCACGATTGCACCCTGGAGCGTTTGCACGGTGAAACTGCCAGTTGAGGCGCGAGCCCCCCAGAGGACCCCACCACGACCAAACCCCAGAAGTAAAAAATAGCAGCCGATGGGACCACAAAAAACAACACTCCTGGGGCTTCGCATTGGCATACCCTGGGGCCTTTCCAACAGAGTCCTGGTGCGCATAGTTCCCAAGGCCATTCGAACCCGTTCTCCTCCCACACCGTCCCCCTCCCTTGCGCCCACCTACTTCCACCTACATCTCCTCCCGCTCTCCCTATTCGTCTCCACCCGTTTCCGCGGGCTCTATCGCCAGCGAGTCTTCGGGGGACGGTTCGAAACCAGACGAGCGCAGCCGCCGCATCTCCCAGCGCCCTCACCTCCCCACCCCCCGTTTGCCTTCTTAGACTCACCCTTCTCCCACTCCTCCTCCCCACTGAGCCCGCGGGGCGCACTCAGTCTGCGTCCTCCTCAGGGCCAGGCGGATCCTCCGAGAAGAGACCATCGATTGGGCAGCTCTCCGTGGTCTCGCCACGAATCAAATGATACTTGGCCCACAAGTCCCGAAGCACTAACACCGCGCTCCACCTGTGGCCGTGGAGGTGCCAGCTCTTCGAGAAGCGCTTGAACGGCGGGAAGTGGGAATGCCACGAGCCATTCACGCTCCCGCGCCAGATGAACCCCCCTGGTGGCACCAAGGGCTTCAAATCCGTCTGAACCAAGTCGCCCTCGGGGAGCTTCTTCTTCTCGGGCTCCTTGCCTTTGCCCTTGCCCTTGTGGCCCCTGCCGCGGCCCGCGCCGCCTTTGGCTGGCGGCGCTGCCCCCCTCAGCACCTTGGCCTTCTTGCGGAAGGTCTCCCTGTACTCCTTCCTCTCGAACTTCTGCTGCTGGGCATGCTTCTTCACCTGGTCGAACACTTCCCCGTCGCCCTTGCCGAAGTACTCCCAGCTGCCTTCCACGTCCAAGAACATGTTGATCGTGTCCGCCTCTTTCGCGAGCAGCGACGACAACCGCAAGGCCAGTATGTTCATCATCTCCGTGGGCGTTGGATCCAAGACGTGCTGGATCAGCACCTCAAGCACGTTCATCAACGTGCAAGGCGATGGAAGCTCCAAGCCAAGATGAGAAGCCAATCTCGAACACCAAGTCTTATTCATCTTCCCGAAACAAGACCGCGCTGCAACAACCAGAAGATCCTCACGATCACCATTGGCGAACGGCCGAATGCCAGCCGACTTGAAGTGCGCCTTGTAGTTGGCAATCCCACCACAGCTCATAATCTGCACGTGCGGGCATGTCCAATGGATCTTCTGAGCCTCCCATCCCCGCAGATCAGACACGAGGTGATACAAACTGCGCGGTTCCTTAACCTGGGCTGGCTTGAAATACGTGATGTCGCCAACAGGGGACTTCACAGTCACCAAGTCCATGGGCCACATGATAGAAGCGCCGTTAGGTAAGGACCCCATTGCCAACATCCACCCAGAATCTGCATCCCCGTGCACGCCCTTCTTCCTGACAACCATGTCGTTCAAGAGGTGGATGACCTCCCCGAGCCACGCGAACTGCAGCTCGTCCTCAGTGCCCGTGCGAACTGCAAACTCCACGATGGGCAAATCACCGAAAGGCACGCCAAGCCGCTCGACACCAGGCGAATGCCAGAAGGGTTCCTGCTTGAAAGACGTGACTTTCAAGAAGTCATTCGGCAGGTCTTTCATCTTGATGGTGTAGTCCGACAATTGGTGACAAGCTCCTCGAGGGATGTCGGCACTCTGCGAGAACCCTGTACTGCGAAACCTGTGCTTCTCATGCAGCACGTTGCCGTTCACCAGCTTGTTGTGCAACGACGTCAGGCTGGCCATCCTGTTCTGGTGCGTGCTACGCGCCTTCAGCAAGTTGAAGCTGTCTTCGCAGGCCTGAGACAAAAGGATTCGACTGTTCGCCTGTTTGAAGAAATCCATAACCTCGTCCGTAAACTCGAAGTCGCTCTCCTTGAAGACCTGGTACACTTGCTGGACGGAGACGTCGTTGAAAGAGCTGCGCTCGACCACCTCCTTGATGCCTCGCACTGTGCCCACCAATGTCTGCAACCTCTCGAAGTTCTCAAAGTCCTTGCGCAACAGGGCCAAGTCTTCCTTCGCGACGGCGTCATCTCGAACGAACCTGGCGGACCTGGAGTTCCAACCGACCAGCATCCAAGACATGCGCTTGAGTCTGTGGAAGTTGATGCCGATGGCCGAATGGGCGAGCATGGCAGCAATCTCATCTTCTTCGGCTACCACCTGGTCACTCGAGATGTTCGCGATGCTCGCCTCCGTGGCGACGGTGAACCCGCATTCTGGCATGGAGCCGATGGTATCGAGAACGTTGAAGGTCTCCATGCACGCGCCTAGGAACTCGGAGTCAAGCTGCCTCGTGACGAAGGGGACGGCAGCGCCAACTGATCGAAGCTCTGCGTTAGATTTCCCCATCCACTGCTCCCACGGGGTCGCTGCGTGAACCATGCAGGCGTCCTTCGCCTTGCAATCTGAGCTGAGCATCTCCATCAGGCCAGTGACCATCTGATTGCAGCCCTGCTTGCGCAACTTCTTCTCGGCGGACGTGTCCTTCTTGGCGGCTGTGTCTGCGTTGGGGTCGTCGAGGTTGGCGTCGTTTTCGCACAACATCTTGGTGAAAGCCCTGCCGTGCAGCATGTCTAGCTCTTGGCACGCAGCCATGTAGAAGAACTTGCGCTGCTCGAAGTGCGGCAACTCCGACCTCAACTTGCGAATGATGTCCCCGTAACGCCCTATCATGATCTTGGTCCCCCTGTTCGTGAAAGCGTTGGAGGTCTTCAAGTGCTCCCAGAACGCGACGGGCGGCTCATCTGTCTGAAGGAACTTCACACCAGCGGGCTCGTGCATGAGGGCGTGCTCCATGTCTGCAAAGAACGGCAGCTCGCGCGGGTGCTCGTACTTGTCGAAGAGCTCTCCAGCACATCCAAGCACTTGCTTCCAGCGCATGTTCTCAAGCCACGGTGATACGGGTATATTGAGCCGCAAAGCTACAAATGCCATGCGATGGTACTCGCCTGCTTCCCTGAAGCCGTCCATGATGTCGTTGTGTGCTCCGTGCGTCTGGTCCCAAGGCATATCTACGTTGAGATTGAGAACCTTCGCAGCAAACCCAGCAGCGCAGACTCCATCGGACCCCTGGTCGGCACATATCGACAAGCGGGGCCAGTTGATTGCTTTGTCCCTCTTCTCGAGTTCAGCAGGCTGACGGAAATGACAAGCTCCATGGTCGAGGAACGGCTTCAACATCTTATCGAGGTGGCCAATCCACTGCAGACTGCTCTTCCTATGCCTCTTCGGAGGCCTCCAATCCGCCTGGCCCCTGGCACCGCGCTTCCTCTTGAGGAATGCTCGCTGCCTCTCCGCGATCTTCTTCTTGGCAGCCTCGAACTCATCAGCACTGATAGCCTCGGCGATCGTCAAGTCGCCGACGTAGTCTGCAACGTCCTCCAGGCTCCGAGGCGGCAAGCCCTGGAGAACCTCGAGGTCTCTATCCGCACGCCGGCCTCTCCGAGGCCGCGGCGGCCCGACCGCGGGAGGGCGCCATGCGGGGGTTCGGCCCTCCCACTCGATACATTGCGCAAAAGTGAACCCCCGTATGGAGCCCTCAGGCCCCGAACCCCCGTATGGCGTCCTCCCCGCGGTCTGTTGGAACCGTCGGTCTCCATAGGCTTGCTGCCGCGGCAGCCTCGGTCCTGAACGGGAGCCCAGAAGGCCCTGTTGTCTGGCAACGCGAACACGCCCGTCTCCAAGCCGAACGTCTGCACCCTGGATTTGTCCACTGCGCCTGACAAGAACTGGCAGCCCGTGGACTTCATGACATCCTTCGCGGCCATGGTGTACAAGTAGTTCTGGTGGTCTGGATCAACGTTCTCTTCGACTAGCTCCACGACGAGCCCTGCCTTGGCAACGACCCCCTGGCTCGACTTAGCAGCCAAGTCAAGTAAGTGCTCGTCAACTGCCTGGCCCACGCGCACCGCCATCTGCACGAAGAAACTCTTGACTGCGACGTGCTTCGCTGGGTATGCGAACAACCTCACCATCATGTCATTGAAGTTCACAACGAGGGAATTGCAGAGCACATCGTACTGGATTGCATTCAACAAGTTAGACGCCTTCCGATTCGTCTTCGCAAGCTTCGCAAGGCCACCGAAGTCGACAGCACCATCAGGCTTCACGACAAGCGAAAAGGGCTTCTGACCATGTAGCACGCCGAAGTCGTCAAGGTGAGCGTCGCTCGCGAAAAAGACAAACTTGTAGCCGCCAGGGCGAAACAACACGTGCGAAACAAGCGTGGTCAGAAACTGTTTCACTGCCTCCCTCTCATCGGAATCCTGCAAACCCCCTGACTGCACGTTGGCTCTGCCCATGCGGCCCATCCATGCGATCAAACACACTGAAGATACAGACTTGAATCTGAGAACCCTGGAGCTGTCGATAGCGAGCTTGTCATCATCCTCGGATTCACCAGAAACTTTCCCATTCAGAAATCCAGAGATACCAAGTGCAGAGACGCTTGACGCCCAACTGTTCCAACGCTTGTTGATGTATTTATGTTTGGTCTTCTCGGCCGCCTTGCTTTCGTCGCCACGCTTGAAGCCAAATGCATCGTATAAACATGGCACGCTCCAATATAAGTAGCATCCATGCCGAGGCAATGCAAACTTAGAGACAGTAAGATCCTCATACGCAGTGTTACCGTGCTTGACCCTCAAACTCCACGAAGTAAACGAATCCCTGAGAGAGCTCAGCGAACGGATAACTGTATCCCTTTTGCTGCCAGTAACAATCAGGATGGAATTGGACGCATCTGACCGCACGTCAAACTTGAAGACCCAAGAAAGATCAAGGCGCACGGGGCGCTCGCCGTCCGCTTCAGAGATAGCAATGACCATGCCGTCGAGAATGATGGTCCCCCACTCGAACTCCGACTGCGGCAGGCGCCCGATCTCGCGAGTGATTGCGTTCCCCACGCAGTCGCACCCCAGCTGGTAGTCATAGAATATACTGATGTCCTCGGCGCGCTTAGCGTTGCTCAGCTTCTCGGCGGCCGCGGCTGCAGCGTCCGACTCGGCGTCGCTGAGGTCGACGGGCGTCGCCGCGCCGCCAACGCAGTCGCCGCCGTCTGGCTCTCCGAAAGCTTCGTCGGCATCAGGTCCGAGCCCCCCGTCATCTGAGAAGGGAACATCAGCACCAGCTGCGCCATCAAGGTCGGGCATGTCCACGTGCATCGGAGCCCCTTTCAAGTCGAGATGCGGGTGGCCATCGCCGCCTGCGTGGTCATCTGGGCCTTCGGGCTCTGGGTGAACAACCGAAATAGCGGCGAACCACTGCCCGATGGCGGTCATGATGGCCAGTCGGCTGAAATCGCGACCGCCCAGCGTCGCAGCATCATTGCCACCGAGGCGAGCGATCGCATCGCCGACGGCATCCTTGCCATCGTTGAGGAATCGCCTCAAAAGGGCTCGGACGTCATCGGCATCGCCACCGACAGCACCTGCCATGCGGCCTCGCAGGCCGACGAACAGTCGGAATGATCTGACGATGGCTATTGCCAAAGAGCTGCGTAAGCCAAAGCTGCGGGAGAAGATGAAGTGCAAGAGAGCTCAAGCTGGGCATCGCAATCGCCTGACTCCTCGAGTGACTGTGGACTCATTGGGCGCCATTGGACCTAGTGGGCAGTGCATGCTGTTTGGGCTCACCTGCGCCAGGGGGGGCATCGGCCACTAGGCCCCATATGCATCATGAGGCTTATCGGTCACATTGGGGTCATAGGAGTAGGGGCACATGGGGGGCGTAGGGGAGCGTAGCGGTGGCGTAGGTGGAGGCGCAGGGGAGCGTAGGGGAGCGTAGGGGGGCGTAGGGGAGCGTAGGGGAGCGTAGGGGAGCGTAGGAGGGGAGCGTAGGGGAGCGTAGGGGGTGGCGCATGGGTGGACGTGCGGGAGCGTAGGGGAGCGTAGGGGAGCGTAGGGGGGCGTATGGGGAGCGTAGGGGAGCATAGGGGGTGAGTCGTAGGGGCAGTAGGGGAGCATAGGGGGTGAGGCGGTGCTCAAGCCGCCCACGAGGGAACTGTAGGGGTCCGAAGGGTGTAGTAGGGTGGCCTTCGGGAGCTCGCAAGGCTAGTAAGCATCATGAGGCCTCAACTCGACGACGGCAATGGGAATGACCGACGAGAACAAACCACGCTTCTCACTGCGCCTCCCCATCTACAGGCGTACCGTCAGGTCGCGCGGCCGAGCCGCAGGAGGCATCACAAGTCCAAAGACTGATTCCAGCATCCTAGTGAATGGCAGCTCACGCTGGAGCCTGCCGCGAAAAGTTGCACCTGGTGATCTGGGTGGGGTCGCGCCTATGGCTGGCCCACTGCGGCTTTCCCTCTCCCTACCTTGGCCTATATCCCTGCCCCTCTCCCCCTTTCTCCATCCTCCTGCGCCTCCACTTCACTATACTAACCCTGATCCGCTTGACCAGAAAAGAAGGTGACCTACGATGGCAACACGACTGCATGCTAGTCTGCATCGGTCACAGCCTCACGGCGCTGGCGCTTGCGCGGGTGCCTGGGCGACGCGGCACTGCCCTTCTTCTTGTCAGAAGGGCTGGCCACCACCAAGCTCACGACGGGGCCAGCGGAGGAGCTCGCATCATCAGCAGCTGGCACGTCCATCAGCGCAGGCTGCGGAGAGAAGCTCCACGACGTCCTGGACCTCAGTTTCGGCTTGGACGCAGCTTTCTCGCGGGCCGCACTCAAAGCCTCGTTGCGGATCCTGGTGGACCTCTTGTCGAGCGCAACCGTGGGTGCCTCCACGAGAGCCTTGTGCGCCTGGGCTGCCGCGTTGATGCGAGAGGTGGCAGTCTCGGCAAGGTCGCGGAACATCTCAGAGCGATCGCACAGCATGAACTTGTTGGGGCCACAGTCCTCATCGAAGTAATCGCAGAGGGGAAACTTATTTTTCTCGAACTTGAAATGACAGTTCTTGTCACTAGTAGGGTCCACCAGCCTGTAGCGATGGTCGATCTTGTCCTCTGGTGGTACCGCAGCGATCTCGCCTGTGATGTAGTCGATCCTGACCACGAATCCGCCCGACCACACCGGTGTAAAAAGACAGTTGGGGCGGTAGTCGATGCTGCCGTCGTCGTCGAGGTTATCCTGCTTCCAGTTGTCCGCGCGGCGGCCGACCTGCGCGTAGCGCAGCCGCATCGCCTCGATGAAGACGGGGACGAAGCGAGCCTCCTCGGGGATGAAGTCCTTCGGGTCCAGCTGGAAGTGTTGTTCCACCATGTTCTTGAGAGCGTGGGGGTCTTGGTTCTCGATGTTGTCCACGTCCTGCTCGGTGAGGCCAATGCCAAGCGTTACATAGACGGTGGCGTATATCTTGTTGTCCACCTTCCCGAAGCTCGCTGCCTTCATTCCCTCGGAGCCCTTGGCACCAGGAGAAGACGCATCAGCATCCTCAGGCGGGTCAGCCTCGCACGCGATGTTCGCTTGGATGCTGGCCCATATGTCCGTGCACGTGTAGGGCTTCATCACGCAGTGGTGAATGATGCGCTTGCACGCGTCGACGTTCCTCGCACGCTTGTTGTTGTCGGCCTGGTCCTTGCCCGTGACGTGAGCTGGAACCAGCTGCGATAGCTTGCACAAGCCATCTGGAGCGCGCTTGGGCGGCATGACGCTGGACTTCCAGAACTTGGAAGCATTGGGAGCCATGGTCGAACTCACCGAGCCCAAGGCTCGATGGCCACGTGGATCCGAAGTGGCCTGACCTCTCTGCTGAGACCGATGGGCAACGTCGTTTGCCAAAACAGTTTGAGCCGAAATGGCTACGGACATGTGGGTTGCTGCAGTGTCAACGGGCCAGTATGCAACGCATGCTATGAAACAATTGCGGATCAACTTTGCAGTCCCGAGACCCAGGGCGGTGCGCTTAATCACAAGGTTGTCGTTTTGAATAGAGCTTATCCTCCCCTCACGCCGTTACCACTGCGTAGAATCACTGGTTCGCTGATCGGGCGATGGCCTTTGAGAGACGTAGCGACGAACATTAGGGAACGCTTAACATCATAAAAAGGCGGCCACACCGAACCCACACATGAGATCAAACTGACAGGGTCACGGCATTCAATATGTCTGATCTGACTGACGCTAGCTGTCCGAAACTGTTCCAGGAATTAAACTGACTCTCCTCGTTCCTCCCTCACTCCCTCTATCCTCCGTTCCTCACATCCGCCACCATCCCCCTCCTCCACCGTAGCCGTTTTGGCTCGACGCGAGAACGACAGCGTCGCCAACGCTGCAAAGCGACCGCGGTCGCCTAACTGAGTCAGGGCTGCGTTTGCGAGACTACCATACGGGGTGCGGGGGTTCGTTTCTGACTCCTGATCGCCCGCGAGCCTGCCGCCCGCCTTGAGCGCCACCTCCATGTCCCGCATCCTCCTCTCGATTGCCGCGTACGCAAACCCACCGGCCGCATCACGCGGGCTGCCTGCTTTCACCGACCACGGCCTGGGTGGCCGCGGGTTCAGAGCCGGGCGGCCTGCATGGGGCTCCTGGATCGCGTCATTGGTGCTGCGCGCAAAGGATTCGCTTGGCGCCGCGCCCCCGTCCATCGGCCGTGTGCCAACCCCAATTTCTGGAGGGCACGCAAGGGAGGGAGGAGGCACGGGTTGCTAGCAAGGGAGCCGGCAGAGGCGCAAGGCTTCTACCTTGAGCCACAATGGCCACGGGAAGAAACGTGCACCTCTTGGGCACAAAGGGCCCCCTCGAAGGCCCCCAAAGTGCACGAAAAGCGCGCCATTCTGCACCCCCCGCAACCCCCACCCCGTTTACATTTACCGCCCCGCCCTTCAGTGAACGCCCCATCGGCCTTTGGAGCGGTAAGAAGGGGGGAAGAAGAAACGTGCACCTCTTGGGCCCTGAGGGCCCCCTTGAGGGCCCAGAAGGTGCACGAAAGGCGCGTCCTTCTTCACCCCACGCCCCCCCCCCCCCCACGTTTGCATT